CTACTACTACTACTACTACTACTACTACTACTACTACTACTACTACTACAAGAAGTTGTGACCCATGCTCGTTACACGTGTTACGCTGAGAATGGCGCGACGTGCGATCACACCTTTTCTCGATTGAATTTCTTTTCGTCGAAAACAATCCGGCACACGAAGTCACGCTTTTTGTGATTCGATCAGATTATAACGCCGGTTATCATCCCTCAACTGCTACACAGAGATCAAACCCATAGATTAATTGATTTTAAAGGCGATAGTCATGAAGAACTCGCATGCTTTGAGACGCAAAACGGCACCATCCGTATGGTACAGGATGCTTGTTTCGATGGCAATGTTGATAGTGTTGGCCTCCTTTACGGGAAATAACGGAGGGCTCCTCGTTTCGGCGGAAATGGAAGCCTCTTGGACTCCGAACGAGGAAGGAGGTCCCGCGATGCCACTTTCAATGCACCAGAGACAGCAATTGGTTCAGCTCCAACAGGCCATTCAGAATTCTCCCGATCCGAACGGGACCTTGCAACAGGTCGCCCAAAGCAACAACATGTCCCCGAACGAGTTGTACCAAATGATCGAAAAGAACGCACAGGATTTACAACAAGATCCTGCACTGTTGAGCGAGTTGCAACAATTTGCTCAGAGTGGTGGTAGAATGGGCAACAGCCTACCCAAAATGGTCGTCAAATTCATCGCTGGCCTGGGTGTAGCGATGCGCCAAACAGCGCAGCAAAATCCGAGAGCTTTCACCACATCGCTCATGGCCGCCCTTTTGATTTTCTACACTTTGCTGGCCATTCCCCGGACCGGACTTCAGATTTCTAGTGGGCGCAGTATCCTCACTCTCTCGAGTGGTCCAACCACCGTGTTTTCGCCTCCGGATCGATACCTTCACAAAATGATTGGCAAGGTGGATTCGATGGTAGCTTCTCCCAAGCTGAGCATCAAAACAATGAAAAAAGACTGGGACGATTTGCTGAAACCATTGACTCGGGAATTGGTGTCTGACTATGGAGCAAAGGACAACGAAGAGGATACAGACGATCTGAACGATCCCTACGGAAGGGTTGAGACTCATAGCCTCGGTCGCAAGAACGAGTTGAAACAAGCCGTGACTGCCCAATTTATGTTGGGACCCGATCAGTTTTTGACGGATTTTCCACTCGGGGATACCTTGGAAGAAATAGCGGCGGAACGGGAGAACATCATCGACATGCTCTATGCGAATGCGGCGGGTCTATTGACGGAACGAAACCTGGTGGAATTTTCGGATGCAACGAGCAAGGCGAGAGATCGACTTCGCGCCGTTTGCGGTGACGGAAAGAAAGACAGAGACTCGAGTCTATCTAGCAAAGACTTTGGTGTCATTGTAGTACCAGGTCTGGGAAAGCTCGGCCGATACGGACTCATGTACTGGAAGGTCACCAGCGAAACCTCGCAAAAATCGTCGTCGGCGGTCTCGAGCCAGACGCTGACCCTTACCACACTAAAGGGAAAAGGCTTTTTCGACGGACAAATCCACTTCGACGTTCGAAAGATCCCCCACCTCGACGGGATGCTCTTGGTGCAGGTGTCACTGGCCGTTCCCAGAGGCGGCCGCAAGCTCCAGCAAAAACGAGCCGAGGCCCTGGTCGAGAACATGGCCCGGTCCCTCGTCCGGTCGGTCTCCCGTAGGACCCGGCAACGCCTCGCGCGCCAGTCCCAGGGCAAGCGCTTCAAGGACACGGGCAGCCGCCGCGCGGACGACCGCCGCAAGGAGCGGTTCGAGCGAGAGCGGCTGCTGGAAGAAATGGCCACCGATCGGCGCCGGAGATGGCAGAAAACGAACCCCGACGCGGGCCGGTATCGACCCAGCGGCCACCGGATGAGATCGCCCAACAATTGCTAGTACGGTAAAACTCAACGGTTTGAAATTGTTGCGCAAGTTCTCCCTAACGAATAGAATAACAAGTAACTGACATAGAACTTCGTGTTGCAGAAGACAATCATCGTATCATCTAGTTTTTTGAGCACTTTTCCTTCTACGCCTACGGGTGCTCGCATGCATGGTGCGCATTGTATCCTGGGTTTACTACCTTGCCATTCTGTCGGAAAACTCGAACCACGATTTAGTCCGCCACCAAGAAGTGACATCCGTAACTTCGACGACCACTCCACATTTCTTTGCCCATCGCTCCGCACCGATCCTTCACGGTTCAAGCGGAACAACGCCCGGCAACCGCAAAGAGCTGCAGCTCGCCGGAATCAAACCCGGTTTTCGGTTTCCCAGCGCTTCGCTTCCTCTCTGTATTTTTTCCAAATCCGTCGTTCTTCTCGGACCCACCGGTCGGGAATGTTCTGCAGACACAGGATCCCCATCAAGAAATAGAGTATCCCGAGCGAAATCAGCTCCCAGGCGGCGATCGTGTCGATCAGGGCGAACCACGCCACGTCGAAGGTTGCGTACTTCCTTTTGGACTCCTCGATCATTTTCTGGGTCTCTTCGGAGTGGGCCAGCTCGAAGCACACCAATCCAAAGAAGGTATACAGGAATCCACGGGTGCTGTAGGTCTTGAGGAAGACCGCGTCCCGGAAAAAGGGAACGCTGTCGTTGTCTACCTCCACCACGATGAAAATAATGGCAAAGACGCACATGTAGATCTTGAGCGCCAGGAGGCTGGGTTCAAAGTCGTCCAGGGGATAGAGGAACATCGGCAGCACCTGGGAGACGATCATGCTGAGGTTGGTGACCAGGGCAAAGACGGTGATCGTGGAGAAGATCTTGACGCAGTAGTTTTGCGGCGGGGGTTCGGGGCCACCCGATCCGGGGTTCGAACCGTGGCTATCGTCGGCTTCCTTCTCAGCGGGGTTGTTCTTGTGGTTGCCGGACGACTCGCTGGCTCCGGCAAAGGGGTTTTCGTCCCCGGCCTTCTTGTTGGATTGCTTGAGCGGGGTGGTGGCATCGGTGGGCAGCGTCCAAAAGGACTTGCGCTCCCCGTCGATCGAGCCGTAGTCTTGCTTCTTGGGTGTCTTGGTCGGTTGCGAAGAACCCTTGCTACTGGCAACGGTTTCCGAGGCGTCGTCGCTGGTGGAACGACCGGGCACTCCAAAGGCGTTCGCGCCACCATCGTTTTCGTCCGGATCGTTCAGGCTGAGTTTTCCCGTCCCAAACAAGAGCGGTTCCACCTCGTTTCGGTGTCTTTTGTTGTGTCGCCAGAGCCGGGTGGCATCGAATTGCAACAATGTCGCGGATTTTTTTCAAAAAAGAACGGACCCGGAAAGAAAAAAACCAAAGGGTAAGTTTCGAGTTCAGGCATCGTTCGACAAAGGCATCGGCCGCATCCAGCGACACGGACGGGGACACGGAGGATGCTTCTGTTCTGCATCCGTTTTCAGCCAACGCTTTCGTTTGCGTCTGATCAAATTACGCACTGTTCGTCTTTCTCTGTATCCAGCCACGAGGGCTCGTTGTCTTCCTCCTCTGGAGCTATCATCTCGACCACGCTTTCTTGTATGAAACGAGTTCGCTGGGTTACTGTACTACAGTATCGTATTGTTTGGAGGGTTCGAGCACGATTGACGGATTGTGTTGACGAACGATTTTGTATGGGTTCATCGCGCAAGACCAGATCTGTACCGAATGGTACAATACAACACAAGATACTGTACGTGCCGTAGGTACGAGTGGGTACTACTTTACCGTACAATCTTCTCTCGAAATATTGGATAGGTGATGTTTACTACTTGGGCTACGCGTATCGCACAGGGGAAGTGACAACTACGAGTACTACAAGTGCATTGCCGCTTCTGATCGTCAACGAAACGAGATCCAATACGAGTCGTACGGTATGGTACTACGAGTACCGTACAAACAGCTCGTACGTAGTCCTACCGTACGGTAGTGTATTGGGGTCGTATCATTCAACATACTGTATGTACCGCATCACCCTATCCCTACCGTACAACGAGAGAAGAAATTTTGGAAATGAAAAGAATGGACGGATTTGGTACAGATCAAGTAAAAGTACTGAAACTAGCAGTGAACAAGGCAAAGACAAAAGACAAAGAGCAGCTATCAGCAGATGGTTTCCATCTTGAGGAGCTACAGTGCTGTTTTTGCAGGAGTACAGCAGAACCTCAATTTCGAAGGCAGTAGTACAAGACTGTTGCAGTTTTGAACGGGAAGACACCTATTCGATTCGGATCGTCCTTGGCGGTGGAGCCTACTGCGGTATGGTTCCGCAGGATGCTGTGGCGAACACAAACCGGCTGGTGGCGCAAACCGGAGCTCCCGGTCCCCGCCGTGCACGACCGAATGGCAGGATGGGTGGTTCTGGCGTTTTGTCGCGTCGCGTTGCGTCTTGCTGCTCTCCCCCGGACCCAAGCCGCGCGTCCCCCCCCCCGCGTCCCAGGCGGCCACCCCGGCCGCGGACCAGACGTCAAAAAGGGGAAGCGCCGCTTCTCGCAAGACCGGTGCGCATGTACCGTACCGTACCGCAGCCTGCCGCCGCAGAAGAGCCCCTTTTCGGGGCAGGGGACACAGCTGCCTCGCGGTCCGGTGGCGGTGCCGTTCTCCTACCGTGTATGCATCTATAGTTCGTGGTTGGAACCCCCCTTCCGGTGTCCCTTCGGCGGAAGCGGCCCCGAAGGGCCCGATCCGATCCGATCCGAACCGAACCGAACCGAACCCAGCTGTTTCGCCCGTGTTACCCCAGCTGCCGAAAGGCCTCGAGCCAGAGGCTGCTCTTCACCCGGCGGGTTTCCCAGCGCTCGTTCGGATCCAGCCGGAGGACGCCCTCCAGCAGGTCCGAGACCAGCGGGTTGAGGTCGAGGCACTTCTCGGCCAGGGACCGGAGGCCCCCGGAACCGTCGTCGGCCAGGACCTCGGCCGCCCGCTCGTTCGGCGAGGATCGTCCCCTCCTGCTCGAGGAGAGGCCCCCCGCGAGGACCAGGTACCGGAACCGGAGGTCGGTCGGGAGGCTCTCCCTCCAGGCGACCTCCCCCGTCACCAGGTTGAACAGGACGACGGCCGTCCCCCACAGGTCGCAGCCGGAGGCCGAGAAGCAGCGGTAGCCCGAGACGACCTCGGGCGGCAGGTAGGCCGGCTTGCCGAAAAAGCCGCCCCCGGGGTCGGTGGCGGTGAGGTCCCCGGGGGGCATCCGAAAAGACATGGCCAGGTCGTTGAGGACGATCCGGTGGTTCTTGAGGACCATGCAGTTGTCGGGGCTGAAATCCCGGTGGCAGACGCCGTGTCGGTGCAGGTACTCGATGTTCTCGAGGAGGTTGTGGTAGACCGCCGCGGAGCCCCCGAGGGCGTCCCCGATGCGGTCCCGGTCGCCAAAGATCCACCGGACCAGGCTCCCCCCCTCGCAGTACGGCATGACGATGTAGAGGTAGTCCTCGTCGTGCAGGGCCTCTACGATGCCCAGGACGTGCTGGTTGTCCCCCAGCCACTGCATCCTCTGGATTTCCCGAAAGGGGTTCTCGTGCCCCCCCCGGGCCAGGAACTCCTCCACGGCGGCCTTGGAGAGGCGCTTGACGGCCACCTTTTCCGCCGACTCCTCGTGGGGCATGGCGAATTCCCGCTCCCCGACCCGCGGCAGGACGACCGCGAAGTAGACGAGCCCCCACCCCGGGTAGTGGTGCCCCAGGTCGACGGGGGCCATCTCGCGGATCCGGGCGTAGGCCTGGAAGCACCGGAGGGGGTTGGCGTTGACCAGGTCGACCGACAGGCCCGGGCTCGCGCTTTCGCCGGCGGTTCCGCTGCTTCGACAAGGGGGGAGGACGGTGAGGCCCGTGGGACGAGACACGCAGGGATCGAGGCGGAGGGGCGGGTCGTCGGATTCCGGCAGCGGGGGCTCGGGAAGCTGCCCCTGCTTCATCCTCCCTCTCGCGGCGTGTGCCAAACCACCGCGGGAAGGGTTCCTGGGTTTGGTGAATGCGGTTGGTGGTAGCGGTTGGTGGAACAGTCCACTCGGCCCGGCCGTGGCGAAGGCTGCGCTTGTTGGGGTCTCTGTTTCAGGTTCCGACGCCGTAACCTTGCAAAGCGTTGCGGCTCACGGCGTCGGCGTCGTCGATGGAATAGAAGATGGGATGCAATTCAATGCAATGCGCAGTGGTCCGAGGCAGTGTGCGATAAGATGTGGCAGCAATCGATGCTTTGCAGCAATGCAGATTAAAAGGAAGCACTTCGTATCGTACTTGTAGTCAAGTTCTACTAATATGGAGAGAGGAAACAGAATCGGGATCGGCAGGTCAATACAGTACCGGCAGCGAAGAGTAAGGGTACCGTATCGTACGGTTCGTACCGTGCGCGTGCAGTACCGTACTGTACTGTACTGTACACTTGCAACGGGAACTGTTGCGACGAGCAACGCAACACAACGGCGAGGAGGGTTCCTCGTAGGTACCGTACGGTATTGTACGGTATTGTTTTGAGTCTTGTTTTGTGTTTACCCTGCAAGTATTGGTACGTACGTACCGTACACTTGGTACGAGTACAGCAGGATGCTGCGTACCTGACATCATGGACGCATGTTTGGAGGAAAATTCCAAGTTCATAATTACACCGTCAAATTTTTCCCATTTTCATTAGCACTGTACTACTGCTGTACTTCTTGCTTTGCTACTACTAGTACTACTGCAACTAATAGTACTGCTGGTAGAACCAAGAAAGAAGACACCCTGGTGGTGTGCTATAGTCTTTCAAGTATTTGTAGTACTTACAGCAGTAGCTAGGAAAACACTGGGTGGTGGTGCTGCCCACCATTGCAACAACAAAAAACTGAATACTAGTAGTAGTACTACTACTAGTAGTAGTAGTAGTAGAAGACGAAGAAGAAGAAGAAGAAGTACTATTACTACTACTAGTAGTAGTACTAATAATAATAATAATAATAATAAATGGTGGTACTAGTACTAGTAAATTCTTTTGGTGGTGGCTAATCACTCGTCGTCCTACTACAAATAGTAGTACTACTACCTACTACTACTAGTACTCTGTTACAACAACAATAACGGACAGTATCATAAAATTAAAATCTCACAGATTGTTTGCGCTGCATGAACACAAAACTCTGCGCACAACTTCTCTGCAGTGTTCTCACACCACCACACAATTCTCATCAGGAGGAGTTTGACACCCACCATTCTTGGGGTCTTTTTTATCAATTTCTTTCTCATTGCAATGACGAGATAACTAAACAAACCAACAAGTATCCTTGTGCTGTACTCATGAAATGTTCTTTGGTGTAATGATTTTTTCTGGTACTCTGTTCCAAACATTTTTCTGAAGATTGATACTCTGATTTTACTGTACAATTGTTTTGGTTGTGGCACTTCAAGATTCCTTCCTCTGTCATTGTCAACTTTTTTCTGATGAGAAGAAACTCTTTCCTCCAACAATGTTTTCAATTCTTTACTGGTGGCAACACCAAACAACAACTGTATCTAATTCAAAAAGAAACTCCCAGTGCAGAAATCCTAGTGGTAGCATTGTTCTTGTTGTGATTCTTTTGAATCGGGTTTTGTTTCATTACTATTGTATAGGTTTTACTAATGCACTTATACACCCATCACCATCCTTGGGTCTTTGTTAAAGAGATCAGGATCCCACAATTCTGTCTCGTAAAAAAAATGTCTTTCCTCCATTTTCTTCTTTTATTATCCCTCTCCTCTTTATCCTCACCAAGGTTGACTTGACACTTGTCCATGAGTGCAAGTTCAATTGTTGTTGAACTGTCTTCAGCTCTCCTCAACAAGCCCCTTGAACACCAGCAGACTTTGCTTCCAGCAACTCTGCTGTCTATGAATGTTTTTCAGATTTTCTTTCCACTGCCTGAATTATTCCACAAGTTGTAGTCATTGTACAAGAACAGGAGTGGTGCAAATGCTTTGTCTGTTGGTGGTCTGAAATTGTGCTCAATGTATCCTTGTGTCTTTTCTGCTTGAACTTGGTTTGTTTAGGATATAACACCCTTAAGATTCTTTTTACAAAGTGCTTGAATTCTGGAGTATTTTTTTCTATAGCTCATTTTCAACACAATGGCTCCTTTGTCATCACCTTCTGTTATTACTACCACCACTAAACAAACCAGCTACCACACCAGCTTTTTAACTGTCTATATGACTTAACAAGCAGGGATTGATGCAAGTCAGATACAAACACACTCACTTGCATGAACCACCATGCCCCACTGCCTTTTTCTGCTTACCCTTGTAATTTTTTCTTGCCAAAGTCTGACATTTCTCCCCATTACATTGCAGAGACAACCAAGTTTTCTGTCACTTGCGCCCACCCCCCCAAAAAAAGAAATACCTCTTTTTTAACAATACATTCTAAAATTTTATCCAGAAGTGGGAAAGTGGCATGCTTGTTGAAAAAGATATTCTTTACATAGTGCACTAGCATCTGTTTCAATACGGTCTCACACTGTTCCACTCTGGCATTGTTCACCCCTGCAATCACCATGGCCTCCTGTTGCTGTCCATTCATTTTAAATGTCTGAGTTACCATTGTTGTGAGTATTGCTTTTGATGCCCTGATGAATGTACTACTAGCTCCTACAACTTAAAGCAATACAAAAGAAGGCAACCAGATTCTTGTTCATATGCAAAATATAATTGGGACTAGTAGTAGTAGTATCATTTTGTCATTATTTGGTTTGCACTTCTTCTTCTTCCTTGTTTCTACTACCCACCATTTCCCATGACAGAGTTTGCACATGATGGTATCTATCAGTTGGAGAACATGGCACAGAGAGGTGGGGTATTTCTGGTCCAGGAACAACAGATTGTCTTCTTGTATTAAAGGTAAATTGGTAGATTGTAGTGCATTTTCAAACAACCTCTGCTGATACAGATTGGTTTCTTGCCACCAACCTTGTTAGTACTAGAACGCCAGTCTACTATAAGTTGTGGAATGCAACTTAGTTCTAGAGCAGTTTTGCAACATTCAACTAATGGTATGTTGTGGTCTCTCATAATCTTCATTGTTAGCTTTATTTCAAAATTGTCAGGTCACATAATATCCGTTTCCTCTCAAAAGCTGTTTTGATTATGATGTCAACATCGACTGAGTTGAACATTGCGTCCACAATCTCAAAATTGCACGTATTGTCCTCAAGGTCCAAATCAACAGCATTCATTGCAGACTATAATCAAGCTGTGATTGACTTCTTTGCTGACTGAAGGGTTAGTAGTATACATCACTTGTTGGTGGTCACCCACCACCAGATTGTACTAGTATGGGCATGCTGGTGGTGGGTCCACCGTGGGTATTGGTAAGGGCAAAACTCTTACTCATGTTCACCTTGTCCATGGTAATTTAGTACAGAGAAGAACTGAAATTTTCTACTCCATCACCTCAGCAGGTGCAACATTGGAAACAAATTACTAGACTGTTGCTGGTGAGAGATGGCGAGGACATGAGTCAGAAGTTTTCTTGGGGATGTGATGGCTCCTGCTGTTATTTGTTCTGTTTGGCACTGTAGAATATGGAGCACTAGTTTACTCCTATCTCTGGAGACATGTCATTTGGACAGAATACCTTTTGCTTAGGTGGAGTCGTGTGTGCTACAGAGGCATATTAAGAGAAGTTGGTTTTGTTTGGAATGCTTTTCTCAGTTTATGAATTCATATTTTCCTGAAAAAGTGGAAATCGATATGGTTCCATTTTTGTGGTTTTATTTTGCGAGACTCGAAATTAAAATTCAATTGCGACTGACTTAGTCTATGTTGATTTGAATTCCATCTTCCTACCGGTATTTGGAACAGAAGGAAGAAATTGGCGCCGAAATGGGACTTCAGCGCAGCCGCCCATTGAACACTCCGAGCGTTTACCAAAACTCCGACTGATTTTGATTCCAACAGCTAGCTTTTGAGAACTTTCTACGAGAGTACAGTACGTACGGTAGGACTGACAAAGTCAAGTCACATTACCTTACGAGTTACTAGTTCACCACGGCTAGCTAACTTAACCTAGTACTACCGTTCGTGAAGTATTATCCTAGAAGTATGATGCCGAAGCAGAAATGGGACCGCACACGTTGAATCAACCATTCAAAATCATACGACATGTAACTTACCACGTTGTTTTCATGCAAGTAAAAACACAAAATAAGACATCATTTAAGAAAAATCCGATTTGAACCTTGGCGCGGTCGCATGCATCGTTTCTTGGAGAAAGTGCGTTCCTAGTACTGTAACCTACAGAGTCACCTGTGATACAGTAAGTATTGTATTGTACCGTACAGTATTGTAGTGAGAAATCAAACTTTACGTTGACATCATACTGTACCATACAGGTAGAAAATCTACCAGTATTATCGAGTCACGGGACTTGCATTAAATTTCGGCTAAGACTTCAGACATCGACAGAAGGGACTCGATGTGTTAAAAATACATGTGGCGACTAATTTTTGATAACAAGGATGCATGTCCACAATCTTGGTTAGTGGTTAAGTCGTACAAAATGCGAGGATGCATAACCTCTATGCGTCACACAAAACTTCCACAAATTGCTTTCCTCCTAAATTTGCTGAATTTAATTAAGCTGAAGAGGGATCAAAAACTGAATATCAAGCTTCGTGAACTCTCGCAGTCCAACCACAAGTATATCGTGTCGATTAGGTTAGCTAGACAATCTTGACGTTTATCAAGAACACTAAGACAATGGATTCAACTCCCGTGCACCAACCGGACTCTGATTGCCCTATCGCAATGACGTGCGACCTGCCGACGGATGATTGCTGTAGCAACAGCATTGTAGAAGCAGATGAAAACTTGGAATTGCGAAGGTTTGCGGCAACTGACTCGATTTCGCCGGAAAAATCTCATGAAATATCATCGTGTTCCTACGACGAAAACACTGAAATGCTCTCACCATGGAGCTCCTTCAGAGACAGCGATGAAACAGATTCTTTGTCTATTTTTTCTTCTGGCTCTTCATGGGACAGCTACAAATACACCGACCTGAGGTATACGATGATATCAAACCTTTTTTTCTTTGTAGGCGCTTGCATCCAGACATACACCAGCGCAGCAAGTTTGAAGTCTACACAAGCCGAATGGCAGTTAGACGATGATAGTGATTGGGATGATGACGATTACGTCCCGACCGTACCCGACAGGGCATGGTATGCCTTGTACTCCGTAGGTCCCTTCCTCTATATCATAAACGCTTGCATCGATATTCGATGGAACATGGAATATCTGACATGGGCTACTCTGTGGTCAAGATTGTGTAGCTTCACTCGGAATAGCGATGTATCACCCCACAACTCGACAGCACAGAACTTGAAAAGTGACTACCAACGAATAGAGGACGTAGAAGCTGACGCTGACGGAGAAGAAAACAATACTATCTCTACAATCGAATCCTCTTCTACATCATCCGCTGATCCATCCCACGCATGTTGGCAAGTGGTTGTCGCAATGATCTTTGGGACTGGTGCCGTTTTTGAATTCTACAGCACCTTCCTAGATGACTACTACGAAGACGAAGACGATGGCTGGGATGACGACTCTTATCTCATTTCAATGGAATCGAAACGAAAATGGTTTTTCTCGAACTACAGGATTGGTTTCATTGGTATGCATTTGTACCTTCTTAGTGGATTGATTGAATTAATTTCGCAACGAAATTCTTATCGAAGCCGATGTCAGGTTGGCTGCTGCGGCCGTAAAATTTCTTGCACAAATGGGGTGGACGAAAGTCCATCCAGACTTTCTTCAATGCGAGTGGCACACTATCTGATGTTCCTAGGAACCATTCTTTTTGTCTGTGGCACAATATTGGATTGTACCATGGCCTATTTGTCTGATCCAGACATCCGGCACTACCTTGATCCAACGAAAGAAGTCTTGTGGGACGTCAATGAGATGACGCTAGCCACCAGCGATTTGATTTCATCCTTGCTGTGGAACGTGGATGCGATTTTGTACATTATGGCTGATATCCTCCTTTTCGATCTTCACAGAGGGGATAGCAAGGGGTGGAAATGGCTTTGTGGCAACTTCAAGCGACACCACTACACAGACGACCGCATTGATGGAGTTGCTTTCCTGTCAGAATTTGAAGAAAATAGAAGAGACGACAACCAAGGTTTGTTGTATGGTTCAACCACAAACAATTATTCGACGATTTGATTAACATCGCATTGAAGAGGGAAGAAGCATTCAAAGATAGCACGATGTTGTATCCAAACGCGTTGTGAAAATAAGAATATATAGACATGTAAAACTTGGAGAATGTATTTTTAAAGTCACCATTACAATTAGAGTGCATGGGCAGAACAAATAAGATAGTGAGCGAAGTCTAGCACAGCTCGAAAACTATCGAAACACTCTTTTTTGGTCGGTGTTATCGAAATTAGCAAACTTGCGTGCTCGTTTTTGCATTAAAAAATTGAATGAACTGATATACTTATACTACGTACATACGTACCATATGTTCCTAGCAGGAATATTTGTAGAGCCCCAATTTCGCTAGTTGTCTGTCCGCGTACCGGTCCGGGTGACGGTCCACGTACAGCAAGTTGACACCCGCTAGCGCTACCAGTACGAGTATTTTCCAGTATGGTACAGTAGTTTGAGCACTGGTAGTACTTCTACTATTTTCAACTGCAGTCACAAACAAAGTCTTGGAAATTTGACATGCTCTTTCGCGTACCGTACCGTACGGTACGAGACTACTGTATCACAGTAAGCTTCGAAAAAAAAGACCCTACTCGAGCAGGGGTCATAAATTTATGCACTTCAAGAATGGAGGGGTTCGACTTCGTACCGCACATACGTACGGTACTCGTACTGTACCGTATGGCATGCGTTCTGTTTTTGGATCTGAAAACAAAATCTTTTGAAAACCTTCGAATGCTCGTGCTCCTACCGGTAGACGGTGCATGGTATGATAGCTGAATGGAAAGAAATGGAACACGAACAAGTACCGAAGGGTCACTCACATCAGTAATTCATAGAGGAATCTCGTCAGAAAGAGGACAAGATTGTTACGAGAACAAAAGAAGAAGCTATTCCTCGAAATATGGAAAGTGGAGACGAAGAATCTTTTGAGGACTATGTCGAGGCGACGGTGCCTATCGACCGTACTGTCGCACTTTTCGTTGTGGGGATAACATCATTGCTTCTATTGTTGCCAGCAATCGAGTTGTCGCTTCGCCCTTCGGATGAAATTGATTGCGAATGCGATGAAAAGGATGATGGCGACGAGGCATCGTCTGTCAGCAGAAGCCCTCGAGTAGAGAAACTTGAAGGCGGAGAATCTACGCCTCTTTTGAGCAATTCAAGTAGCATCAGAGACGGCATAGGATACGGCGGAAATTCGTCTGGTTCTGAACGCGGACGAGATGATAACATCAAGATAGATGCAAGAATTTCTATACCGAAACGACCATCGAGCAATTCTCTCCACAAATTGAGCCCCAGGAAGTCGATTGGCATCGATACAAATTCCTCGTTCTTCAGCACAGATGAAACGGAGGACGATGAGAAAGGCTTTGGCAATGCCGCTAGGTTTTCCAAACCAAGCACAGATGCATTCGAAAAACTCAGGATTATTACATGTCACAACACTGATTCTCAGACGAAAGCAATGCTAGCCCTTGGGATTCCATACCTATTGCAAGCACTGGTGTCGGCTGTATCCGAATTCATTCAAATGGCAATTGTCGGACACTATCTCGGGACCGCCGAATTGAGTGCGTTGGTAGTTGTGGACTTGTTTGTCAAACTGACCAGTGGTGCCGTGGCCAGTGTAATCATAAGTTCAAACATCATGATTTCTCAGATTGCCGAAGCAGAAGACGAAAAGAGTGTCCACAAGATAGGGAAGTACATTCAGTTCTCAATTTTGTTCTACTTGGTGGGAATGATACCAATCGTAATCTTTTGGTCATATTGCACGAAGGACATTCTATTATTTCTGAAACTCGATCCAACAATTGCAGATGTGGGTGAGCAATATGTCACGCCATACATCATTTCAATTGTTTTAGAGGGTGTCGTCGCCGCTTTTCAACAAACCCTTGATGTAGTGGGATTCGAAGTCCAGTCCACCATTTGCACAATCCTTGGAGAAGTTGGCACAGTATCGATGGTCGCAGTAGCGCTGGTGGTTGGCCCACTTTTTGCTGAAGTGACATTGGGAGATTTGGGATGGGTGTATGTATTCGCGAGTGTATGTTACCTCGCTGGAATTCTGACTGCAATCTACTGTAATGGTTGGTTGGAAGACTATTATAAAGGATTCTTTTCCTCCCCGCTGACAATGTTCGCGGCATGTGGCAATGGCGATAACAGTAGCGGAACAAATGTCGTCAGTGGGGCCGCTATTGAGCTTCTGATCTCCAATGCATTCCAATTAGCGTTCAACGACATGTTGTACAATGGCGAGTGGCAACTTCTTATCCTCTTTGCTAGGTGAGTTCTGCATGTCGTTCGCGATAGATAAAGGAAAAGGGCCGGGATATCCTTTAAGAACAGCATCAGCACAGGACGAATGCAGACGAAAGAAAATAGAAGGCAAATCGGAGCCGATTGATAGACTAACTTTGACACTTTTTCTGATTCGTCTTCTGCTGTACTCCTATACCCAGCTCGCTAGGGCCCGCAGAGGTTGCCGCATGGAGTGTGCTAGGAGTGATATGGGAGGAGCTAGAATATCTTGTAACGGCCATTGCAGAGGGCTGCGAAGTTCGCGTTGCTGTTGCTTTGGGGTCTGGTAATATAAAGAATGCCAAACTGACGTCATACAAAGCAATATGGATATGTTTCGTTTGGGGTCTGATTGTTTCCATCGGTTTTTATTTGTTCGAAGACACCATTGCGGCATTGATTACGACAGATTCAACATTGAGAGAAATTGTTTCTTTCAACCTACCAATGATAAGTCTTATCAATATGATTTCGGGCATTGGGATCATGGCAGAACATGTTCTTTGGAGTCAGAATCGAGCTCCATTGTCGACGGTCATAGCAAGTGCGACGTCATGCTTGGTAACCTTACCATTGGCAGGGCTTTCGTCCTACTACTTCAATTTCAATCTGATAGGACAAACGGCGAGCGTTGCTTTGGGGGGTTCAATGTTTGTTGCCGTGTCTATGTATTTCGTGGTGTCGTCGGACTGGAAAAAAATATCCGAAGATGTTGTTTCTCTCCATCTTACAACGAAAGATGACAGCAGTAATAGTGAAAGTGATAATGATAGAGAAGCTGATGAATAGGGTTGGATGAAGGCGACATTGACTAGAGCAACGGTTAATTTTCGGGGCCAGTTGGCCATGAGTTGGCCATGAGGCTTCTATCACGCATGCTGTCAAGAGCGTTCAATAACTTTTTTTTTTCATCAAAGATTTCAAAATGATTTCTGGTTGAAGATGATTTAATGCAAGTTGTAATTGTAACCATCAGGTACCGAAAGAAATAAATCACTGGCGAATACCGATGCGCCATATCAAAGCGTGCAGTTCCACTGAAAGAAAATCTCTAAACATCGAAGACTTTGTTGAGAAACAAGCTGATCGCCATTTGTTGGTGTTCGTGTTCAAATATCTACTACTTCATGAAGCAAGCAGCGCGATACTGATAGAAATATCAAAACTAAAACGAAAAATAACGATGACAAGAGATAAATTAAATGATCTCTTTTCGAACAGAACTCCAGGTACTCTCCAATAAAACAAACGATTTTCTATTTTTTCTACCTGGTTGCAGGGAACCGAAAAGAACGCAAATCTTATGCAATACAGGATCTCGTGGTGGGGCAACAGCCTTACTATCGCGTCCAAAATGCCCAAGAGGATAGTAGTGGTTTCGAATTGCAAAAATGCAATTTACATGTTGGAAAAAAAGAAATTGAAGCAAAACGTTCTCTTACGGCGATTCGAACGCCGGATGCTTGATTCAAAGTCAAGAGTGATAACCACTTCACTATAAGAGAGCACCGAATGAGGGGATCGAACCCTCGACCACACGATTAAGAGTCGTGCGCTCTGCCAACTGAGCTAATTCGGCTTGCTTCGTTGTTGCGATGAAGGTTCATGCGAGCGATACAATCTCTCTCGACATTGCTCTCTACTTTCAACATACCTTTAAGGTACGGTATGGATAGTACCATACAGTACGACTCCTTTTGGCATCACAACAAATGAAAGACACGAAAATTTTCGCACTTCTTCTTACCCAAGTTCGCAAAAGCTGATACGATAGTAGCAGTCCTGCATTCTTATACGTGACTAGAGTTGCCTTTGCGCCTCGTAAATTGATGAACCATTCCGAACGGGGTCATGTCTTGTACGATGATCTGACGGTAGAAGCACGATAAAGGCCAATGGTACCGTACCCTCGCGTCGAACACGCAACGTATCTTGAGTCAATGCAAGTCTCCGGTTGAATAGTTCCGTAGCTATTTCAGTAGACTTTCCCGCAGACTTTCCATTGTAGGATGAAGAGAAGCTGAAAGGCAATTACAATCTTGTTGTATCGTTGCCTTCATTACTTGTTCGACCCTTCCGGAATCTGTTCATTTCAATTAATGAAACTTTCGTATTGTATTACTGCAACGTACGTAAAACACCGTATCGGTCATTCTGGGAAAAAAAAAATTTCTTACAAGAAGACTAGAAGATCCGATCGATCTGATCCTCAAGGGCAAGAATGAATCAATCCCATCGATCGATTTTACGTTAGTCATTCCAGTCCCGGACTACAGTAGTTCGGGTACTCGCACCAACCACCCGGGCGGGGACGCGCGCTCTCCGCTCCGTTATATCGCCAGAAGACGGGGTTCCCCTCCTAAAAATAATTACATGACTCCGAAATACGACACGATCTATGCTCACGTTCGGTAGAATGTAGAATACGATGGTCATCGTGGAGAAAAGGCGCGCAATTGAACGCATCACTTGGTATTGCCGATTTGTGTGCCGTAGTACGTTATGGTAAGTACTCGTAGGTCGTAGAGTGCCCAAACAGAACGAACTGAACTTCTGATACTACCAGTACTTACGTACTCGTAATCTGGTACTGTACGGAACGTGTTTCTCGTACTATTTTCGTCGAGGAGTAAACCCGCAACGGCAGCTGACTTTCTAAATAATTCAATACGAATGCGTGCTGGAACTCGCATCGTATTGTATCGTACGAATTCGACGCAGGTTTCCACGCTTGATGTTGTTGGTGTCGAGGGTTGATTTGGCTGAAGATTAGAAAAGGTGTGTCGCCCCACTCGAAGAAGGAGTTGCGGTAGATGTTGAGCCAATCCCTCGACAACTTAGATTAGGAATCTCAGACTCGTAGAATCTGAATCCGATTCTGGCTACCTGTTCTGTAGAAGGCAGCATCACTGCCTTGATTGTACATCTCTTATCAAAATCCAACCATCTATTCACCAGCTAACACGGAACAGTTTGCGAGTACCACTGGCAAGATGATTTTGCGACTGGTCTCGCGAGGAAAAGAACAGCGAGGAAGGGCTGCCTGCGGGAATGGATCTGGAAAATTACTGTTGTTTCCTTCCGTCATTGCTATCGCCTTTTTTGTTTTGTTTGGGGCTCCCTCCCAGGTAGAAGGGACGGTGTATCTTCCCGAATTCAATCGAACCTTTGTTAGCTTGCCGGGTCTGTTTGGAAACGAGCTTAGTTCCGACAAGAACGATCCTCCCGTTGCTGCCTACCTCACCATGATACCAAATCAGCCGTACATGTGTCCCGACGAGCTAAAGAACATACAGCCGCAGCCGCCCCCACAGTTTTTCAACAACGAGCAGAACTTAATGGACAACAACATGATGATCAGCAGCAACCAGGACAACGCCAATAGCACCGATGCAGCATCCCGCTATTTCGACTCGATGGAAACACTTCCTGATCCCGACGACGGACTTCCGATCGCACTGCTGGTGGAACGGGGAATGTGTACGTTTTGGGAAAAAGCCGAGCTTGCCTCCAAGTACGGCCCCTCCGTCCGATACGTAATCATTTACGATGACGTTGTCTCGCCCGACTTGGTCCCCATGAGCAGTGAATATCCGACGGACATGACCCTCCTATTTGTCTCCTCTGCGTCGGGGCACGAAATGAGGGATCTGATTCGCAGCAACCAACCAACTCCGCACCAAGATTCGGGCCCAGGTAATGCAGGAGTACCACCACCGCCCCCGATCACCGGTTTTGATACGACGCAGGGGAGCGGCGAAGAGAATCAAGACGGAACTGTGCACAGTGGCAACGACGATTACGGTGATCATACGAATGGATTGCTGGTTCTCATAGATGGCGATCGCCCGTACATGGATCCAGCCTTTCCAGCTCTCAACATGGCTGCTTATTTTTTGGTACGTCGCGATAGCAATACACGCGTCTCTGTTCTTGTGTCTTTGTTCCACCAAACTCTGCACGATTTGACTCTAGATTTTTCAGTTCGTATGGGCTCGGCTTTGGACGGATTTTCCCCTCATCCACTCATGCCATCCTGTTTTTGTAAAATGTTTTCTGATAACGACACTATTGTTATGATTTATTCGTATGTTGCAACCCAATCACCTTTCGTGCCAGGCCGCTATGTCGGGATTCCTTGCCTTTTTGATTTTCTTTGGCTGCCTCCTGGTTTGTGCCCAGTGTGGTTGCATCACGGCGGCCCCCGATGAGCACGGGCGCATCGTTCTCTTTGCTGGGGGACCCGGAATTCGTCACACGGAGGGCCTGGCTCGGATGATTCGCGTTCACAAGCTCACCGCCGAGCAGGTCCAGATTCTCGACGAGGAAGAGTTTTTGGGGGACGCGGATGCTTGCAACAGCGAGGAAGGGGGGGATTCTTCCTGCTGCTGCGCCATATGCTTGGACGATTTCGACGACGGGGAGAAAGTTCGGGTACTTCCGTGTGGCCACAAGTTTCACGAACCGTGTTTGATTCCGTGGCTGACCGAGCGAGATGCGAGCTGTCCCCTGTGCAAAATGGACGTACTCAAACACGTGCTAGAAATAGAAAGAAAGAAGAAACTCAACAACAAAGACGGAGGAAACAGCGAGACAGGGAAGGAAGGCCGGGCATCCGATATGGAAGCATCGGGTGACGAAACAGCCCAAGGAATTGCGGGCAACCATAACGACAGAAACACCAACAACCCGAGAGGTACTTCACCAGTTCGATCGGTCTGGTATCGTCTTTGGGGGTGGTCTCTTATCGCAGATACCGTTCCCTCGGAGGATCATAATGCACCCGCAGGGTCGGGGGCAACGCAGAGTTCTTTGGAAGTCATCTCCGAGATTGAAATGGAGAATCGAACACCGGCATCGTCCGTCAGCGGCGGCGTGGAAAATACGATATAGTCAAGCCTGCCTTTGTTGTGCATTGTACGTGCGCTAAGAATCGCAATACGACACGGGCGGAAAGATGGCGTTCCCCAGTGGATGGAAGGTGTCTGCGGTTGCGACACACCTTCCTTTCTGCGTTTTGTCATTTGAAAAAAGGATGCAGGCCAGATACCAATCTGGCGAATATCTGAAAAACGAAAATGCTGAAAGAACATTGTAGTCAATGCCTACGAGCACCGCCGGTTTGTCCATGTCACGGCTGAAAAGGGTTTAGGAAACGAAACTTCGAAGAATACATGCCGTGTCGTCATAAAACGTTTGTATACTAGTAGGAAATGTACCGTATGAATTAGAAGTAAGTTTCACATTTCTGATTTTCATAGAATAGTGCTATATCTAATAGCCATGCGAATGTAACGTTATCACACAGGAAGTGTAGTGGTAGAGGCCCTCGAATACTGATTGCTGCCACAAGGGCTCAACACGTGATCTATGTGGATAGGCAACGCAACACAGGATGCGAATGTTTCGGCGAACTGAAAATCTTTTCCGTATCATTTTCCTTTGTTGTTGCAAGTGCCACAGGCTGGCTGTTGGGTGATATGTAGGTGGAGGAGAACTTCCTTTTTTCAATACATCACCAGCAGTGATAACCTTTGAGGAAATTTTTATGGAGGTCATGTTAACAAGAAATTTGAGGTTATTCTTCACCACAAGCTACTTTTGATTTGAATGGGGGCACTCAGCAAGCAACTTAACACTGAGAGTTGTTTTGCCCATGCACGTAGTTGGAGAAGATTTCTCAAGAAGTTGGAGCAACGAAGAGAACTACTGTGCACCAAGAACAAGAACAACGATCTTTTTCTCAAATACTGCTGCACTGTAGTAATAGCACTCAGCAGATATAGTTTTTCCCTTTGTCAGTCTGGCAGGGCTAAAAAGTTACGTTTTACTTTAATATCATTACTGCTAAATGCGTGCTGGGTTTTCATGTCCTATGTCTTGTTTCAGAGACAACCTTACCTTCTACAGTAAACTAGAAGTACGAAATAGTGAAGAGAGATTTTAAAATCTAAAAAAAATTGCTTTCGCTCCGTTTATTCTCCTGTTTTTTACATTAGTTTTATCCCTAACTCTAATTTGGTTTAGGCAAAAGCGCTGGACCGCACAAGGGGTTTTGTTTTGTTTTTTGATTGACTGAAACAGGTAGGATGAAACACACTCTTCATGCAATACATTACCTACCGGTACGACGAAACCAGATTAGGCATTCGACTGACCCCACGGCAGGTAGACCCATCGACATTCAGTTGACGACAAACAGAGACTGGAAAGCCTAACGCATAGTGTAATCTATCTCTTAGTGTTGAAACGAAAGCGGAAAGCCAACTGGAACGAATCGCATCCGAAAGCAGAACCAAAAAAAGATGAAGCTCGTCAAATTTCTACAAAAGCTCAATCGGGAGCAAGTAACCATCGAGTTAAAGAATGGAACCGTGGTTCAAGGAACCGTGGTGGGTGTGGATGCCACGATGAATTGCCATCTCAAGAAGGCTAAAGTGACCGTGTACGTGATTCTGGGACGATCTTGCCTGTAGTTTTTTGCTTGGTAGCGAAAGCGGTGTGGTCGAACGTGCAGCGATTGAACAGACAGGGCGTTTCTTGTGTGGCGGAGCGAACCGAGCAAAACTGAGTCGGCGCGACGATTGTTCCGTCCTTCCGTGTCTTGCTGTATACACATTTGATCGCCTGCGCATCATGTGTCACGAGACAAAGCAGTCGTGGTAACCACGAGGATCCTTCGTCTTTGAATTGCACCGCGTTTGTGTGTTTACCCCCGCTGTGCGTTCCTTCCTACATTTAATTCCTAAACGGACGAAAGAACTCTGTGTCACTCACTTGCTACACTCTTGCGCATGCGCAATCCTGTTTCGTTTCTTTCTTTGCGTTTTCTTTTGCACCTTTTCTTTGGACCATCCTCTGTTGGGAAACACTGACTCGCGCCTGCAGGCGCGGGAAAAATCCTACATCGTATTCCACGCTCTCGGTGAGAGGGTCCACGATGAGAGCCTGGCTGCTTCCCGAAAGCCTCAATCTGGATGCGTTGCTCGTCGACGACACCCCTAAGAAAAACACGGCCGTGGCGAAACCTATGGATACAGGTCGAGGACGGGGAAGAGGTCGAGGAAGAGGCCGCCGATAAGAAAAACGCTACAAGTAAAAGAAAACAATTTACCAGTAGGCAGGTGTTCCATTAGGGGTTGCTTTGTTGCCATGTCATTGTGGAAGAAAGCAGGGAAAGTCGATTTACGCGTATATATTTGTTGGTCGCACCGATCGATAGTTTAGTTTCGAGGAACAGAAACAAGAACCATTTACGCGACCGTTGAGAGTGGACAAGCAGGGGTGCGTGTCTGTTTTAACAGATTCTTCACGATCTAGGGTCACGAAAAACGGATGTCGTGGAACCTTCTAATTGAAGAAATGCTCTATTAGTCTCGTGTATGGACCAGGAAGGCTTTCTTTCATAACAAAAAACATTCATAATTCTTCAGCTTTGTCTAGGAACAACCAATCCACCAACCACGGGTGTCTTCTATTTTCCAGTCTTTGTCATTGTTCCTGTCCAATCCAGCGTGCACGTACTCTAGTGTCAGAAAAACCATTGCAAGAATCTTTTTCGCATCTCCATCGGCCGTGGCTTTTTTTCCTAGCCTCATTAAAAGCCCAGCGACCATAGTTTCTTTGGAACTTTTTCGGATATCGGTTGTCTTCGGTGCGTTCTCCTCGCCATGGCGACGAACGTGATTCTAAACACTCTGGCGCACCTTGCCGCTTGTGGTCCATGCACCGGAACCTTTGGACGATGGAAGGCCGGCCTCCAGGACGACGACGCAGATCTCTGGAACGACCTGACGCTTGTCAACTCTGTTCCGGGACCGAAGCCTCCCGCCATTCCAAGGGTGGTCGAAGTTGTCTCGGTTTCCGGTGACGATCTCTCTACCCTGGCCTACGAAACGGTGTCCAGCCACCAGCGCTCCCATTCCCGCGGCCGTGGGCATCGCAGCGGATCCCGCCACCCGGCCCCGATCGAGGAAGAAAAGTCCACCTCGCCGTCGCTGAAGCGAACGAGGAAGGCGCATCTTCGCGGGGCGGATTCCAGGAACCACGGGGATTCGGATCTCGAACTCGAACAAGCCCTGGAAGACATTGGGCTCGAAGACGACAGGGGAGCGAGCCGGGGGGGCGGCGATGCCGAGCTGGAGAGCATCATGGGCCCGCGGTCCTACGCCAGCGAAACGAGCCGGGGCCCGCGATCCCACCTCGGAAGCACGGGCCGGAGCATCCAGAGGCGCATCCCCTCGTCCCACACCGCTCCGGTGCGCCTCTCGGCCTCCGAGGCCCACCGCCCACCGTCGCTCCTCCAGCAGAAGCGGGAAGAATACCACTGCGCCTATGCGGTCGTTGCGGCCAGCGGAAGCCTCGGGGGCGGGAGCCAGCGGTCGTCTCGTTCGACGAACGCGTCGACGACCACGAGCCGGGAAGATTCGAAGGAAGAGCAGCTGGAGCTCTGGGACAGCTTTGGGGACGAACTCCCGGATTCTTGTCGGAGCTACGATTGCGGGTACAAGAAGAGCGAGGCCGACGAAGAAGATTACCACGACGATGGATCCAGTTACTCTAGCGTGCACCGGAAGCTGTCCTTTTATCGCAAGAGCACGAAACGAAGCACGCTGTTTCGAAGCAGCAGCAACAACAGCAAGAGCAAGAGCAACCACCACCATCTTTCCACCAAGAAGGGAGCCAATCGCGGCGACAAAGACTGGCTGCTGGGTCTGGAACACGGTGGATCTTCTACCGACGACACCTATTCTACCGTTCTGACACAGAATTGCAGCAGCCACTCCCGCAATAGCTATCGCAGTAGCAGCAGCCAGCACAAGAAATACAAGCCGATCTTTTGACCCCCGATTGTATGTACTTTTGAAAGATCGATTCCATAATAATATACTGTACTAGACATTCGAACAGTCGCACGTTCACCATTGGCAAGCACGCCAGACACGCGCACACGGAGGGCATCCATGAAATTTCATCTAAGTGTATCGTACTCCATTCCCATTCACTCCTCTCCATTGCAGCACACAAGGTAGAACAATAACCAACTCGATATCAGTAACACGGTTTTTAGAATAGTAGAATTTCGTTAGGACGGCAGGGCGGAGTGCCAAATCGTTGTTCCGCCCCGAAAGCTCCCGGACCTTCCTCGCTCGGTGGCACACCCAGCGTGCCCAAAGCACGCTCTCGCGGTGTGGTTCTCTACGACCAGAAGGGATCTTCCTCCTCCGACAGGCCCTCCATTGTGCCCCCCTTTTCTTCCGAGGCCTCCTCCTCCTGGGGCACGGCGTTCGGCAGGATCGCCGCCGAAATGTCCATGTACTCCCCGCCCTGGTCCTTCCACTTGCCCTCGACGTTGTAAAAGAGGCGCGACCGGGGCGTCATGACGTGCACCATGACGCTCCCGTAGTCCAGGATGGTCCACCCGCTGTCGGCGCTCCCCTCCGGGACGCCGGTGGCCCCTGGCAGCATGTCGAAGTTGTCCCGTACCTCGTCCCGGACGATCGAGGCGATGGCCTGGTTCTGGGGCCGGGAGTTACCGGTGCAGATGACCACAAAGGAGGTGATCGTCGATACCTTGCTGACGCGGATGGCCACGATGTTGTCGGCCTTGCGGCCGTCGGCGGCCGCGACGATGCAGTTGACCAGCGATGCGAGCTCGTCGTCCCCGGGGTCCGCGCTGATCTCCTCCAGGTCGCCGACCAGCTCCTCGGGGGTGACCTCCTTGTCGATAAAGTCCAGCATCTTGTTGTTCTTTTGGTAGCGCTTGCGGTCCTCCCGCCGCTGCTGGTTGGTCCGGCCCCCCATGCGCAGCTCCGTGGGAGAAGAAAAGCTCGCTCGGGACGCTGCGGAAGCGGGTCGGACGGGGCTCAGGGCCTCGGATACGTGTGGCGCGAACAGCGCCAGCACCACGGTGGTCGCGAGGGCTGCGAGACGGGACATGGTGGCGTGGTGTAGTGTTCTATGTGTGGTGTGGAAGGGTTTCGTGGTGTGGTGTGTGATGGTGTGTATTGTCGTCGGTACAATCTCCTATGAAGTATGTGTAGCGTGCGGTGTGAGCGGTCCTTTTGCCGAATGAGACAATGGTTTGCGATAGTAGTCCTCCGGAATTATTATTCTATTGAGAACGATGCTGCTGCTGCTGATGATGATTCTGTGACAGAGACAACAAAACAAAGTACCTGGAGCACGAGTACTGGTACGGGTACCTACCTATCTTAAATTCGTACCGTACTACTGGTGTTTTCGTGTCTGAGTTTTGTGAATCTGATGGCTGCCGAATTACTTGACATTCGTTGCTCGTACCGGTACGAGAGTACGATTTTTATTGGTAGATCATGGAATTCGACCGGACGATGAAGGAGCGGTCGATCCGAAAAAAAGTGTGTTTGTTCTTTCTTTTTTCTCTCTATCGTAGAAGGGTGCTACCGTAGGAGCACAGTACTCGTACTTCACAGGACGCTCGTACGTATGCGTGGCTCTGGGTTTTGGAAAACGGCGCGACTACAAAAACAACATCTGGCCCAGGTTCTTTCCCCGAAAAGTCTGATGCGAACCCAACCGTCCAATGCCGTGGAATTCAGGCCCTACGCTGGGTTGTACATAGAGTGCGTACCATACGATATTCAACTGCCACAGAACTGTGTTTCGCGGTTTTCTTCACAGAAACGAAGAATGTTGCCGCCACCTGCATTTCTTTCACCAACAGAACAAGAACACCGCCACCAATGCCAATGACGACGGACCGACCGGAGCAAACGACGATGACGGCGAGAACGTCCATTTTGGCGACAGCGCCCGAGATTCCAGAACAGTGACGGCATCGACGCCAACAAATTCCTAGGGACGAGACGGCACTGGGAAACAACCATTGAGGGCACACCATGCGGCCCGCCCGCATTCCTCGCGGCGTGGCGTTTGATACGACAGCCGGGGCGTCGGCCTTGGTCCGCGGGGTTTGCTGAGATGGATGGAGGGTCGAGTCGAGTCGAGTCGGGACGGGTCGGGTCGGGTCGAGTCGAGTCGGGACGGTGCCGTGCTACGGGCCGGATCGTTTCGATGGACGAACACCGAACAGGGCACGGACCCGAGGCAACGGCAAGGCTCCGGGAACGGCAAGGGTGGGGGAGGCGGCGGATCCGCTTGCCGTTTCGTCCGGGGTGGTCCGGGCCCGCGGTTCAAGGACCTTTCTCTCCTGCCGCCACCGGCGGTGGTGGATCTGTGGCGTGGTTCGTGGATTCGGGCGTTTCGAATGCCACGAGAACTACTCTTCGTGACAGAGATGTGGTGGTCGCATTGCAGTATTGTTTAGTAACGACCAGTACTACTGGCTTATAGTGGTATTTTCTCCACAGAAAATGCTTTTGGACATTGCATATCTTGATAATGGATGTTGATGAAGATGTCCATTGGAACATCCAAGAGTATATTTTTAAATGGTTAGAGTCTTATTTTTGACAAGAGATACACAACACTTTGTACAACATAAACAATATTTATACTAGTAGTAGAATAGTAGTACTATTTGCGTAGTAGTACTAAGAATAGTTGTATAATGGTGCTGATACTAGTATGAGTAGCAATTATCCATAATATTTCAACTCTCATTCTGCTGTTGGATTATGAGTGATATTGTTAGAGGAGGAAGACAGGGTTTGAGAGCCATGACAGCATAGTAAGAAAATGCTTTGAAGAAACAAAACAGATGCCTATATTTCCTATTTTGCAAATTATGCATGACATCATTGTTGAGCTGTTTCTCTTCTTCCTGAGAGGACTAATCAAACAGTGAAAAGATATTCCTGTCCATACCTAACTGAACTATTTGGTGGAAATCTTGGAATATTGCTTTCTTTCCTCCCATCTACCTCTTTGGCATGACTCCTTTTTGCTGGATACCACTTGTGAAGTTTTCTTTGCTGAGCTACTAAGGCTTCCTCACCAGAAAAGAATGTCATGTTTTGTGAGTCTTCATTCTTTCACCACCACACTCCTGTTCAGACATAGTACCTGCTCTGATAAGAGTCTCTCTACTACTATTAGTAGTAGAAAGTAGTAGAATCTTCAAGTAGTAGGCAGCTACCATTCAATTTCATTTCTTCTGGAGGAACAACTTTTTGAAAAGCATTCATACTATAACTGCTGGATATTATAATGTAGCTGCTCTCATGACAACAACCCCCCCTGAGGTCCAGGTTCTTGTGAGTAGAAGAAGAACAATGACCAGACAGCAGCAGGACAACCAAGACAGAAATTCAAGGGACATGCCTAGCAAGAAGTGAATCCTATGGAAAGTGTTTTCTTATAGCAGGGTCAAGAATTCAAATCTGATGTCTACTAGTAGTAATTTGAGATTTACTCCTAGTACTACTACCACCAGTACTACTACTAGTGGTGGTGGTTGCTGTTGGCTACTACTACAATAGGGTGTATGTGTAGTGACTGTTTGTGAGAGAAAAATAGAATGATGGCTTTTTGGTGGGGGGTGTACTAGGGAGACCGCCTGAACTTGAAATTGATTTCCCTCCCTCCTTTTAGTACTTGAACAGTTTCACTCCAGAGAAATTGTTGTAGTTGTGGCGGTACTTGGATTTTACATTTTACTCTGTTTTCCGCGTTTCGGGGAGGGAGCCGTGGGATTTGATACAGCATTGCGAATAAATTCGATACTTGTATCCAAAGCATTTTTCGTGTCCCACGAAGAAGCTTCGAAACGAGTTCGTTTTCACGAATCTTTTTAGCCACCAAATTATACGACAAATGTAAGATTTCGAAACGCGAAAAATCGGTGGTCCATTACAATTATTTTGAGGCCGTGGGAGTCAATTCTATTTCGCATACATATGCCATTGCTAAATTGAAGCTCGAACAAGGAGAACTCTCATGGACATAAGAAGTTGCTGAATGTGAGCTTCTGTGCCAAATGATTTTGACGATATGGGTGCAACATACCGCATGAAACTACGCTTGCTTAAAATCAACATTACAGTATTGCACATCGCGTGACATACCATATCATATTTCTTTCATAAATTATCAAACCGCAAACCTCAAGTTCACATAAATTCAGAACAAAGCGATCCTGTACCAACTACTTATGTCTCTAAACAATCAAGCTAACCCTTGCACCGTTGTTGCCGAGGTGATTGACCCGAACGCTGTGGTGACAGCACCTAGGTATCCTCGTGCAAGACCATACAGTCAAAGACATCTAGATGGAATGGAAGCCCAGGTTGTAAACCAGGAACAGTCGCAACATGTGACATTTGAAGCAGATAACAAGGCCGCCTTTTTTGCTGATAGCAGCGAAGGCAAAAATCGCTTTGGAAAGGTTTCGAACGAGAAGAAAGGCTATAACTTGCTTTCTTCCAAATGGTATTGGTATGCCATGATAGCTATGACTTTGATCTTTTTGGTGTTGGTCGGATACGGATTTGGTTCCGGTCTTTTTCTTTTAAAGAGAGGCAATGCAACTTTGAACAACGACCCCGCCAAGGATGGATCCACACCCAATGGTAGTGATCCATCGTCGATTTCAGACTCTTCGAACACTGTCCAAGATCGACAAGATTACAAATACAGCATCGTGACCTTATTGGGACTACCCATGGTCATGGAACGCACGTCTCCCCAAGCCCGAGCTGTAGAATGGCTGGCCTACCAAGATGAACCCCTCTTTGACGTTACAAAAGAAACTTCTGCAGAAGAACAGGACCGACACCACGAAATACTCGAACAACGGTACGCACTGGTAGTTTGGTACTTCGATCAGGGTGGGCCAACGGTTTGGAAGACCATCAATCGTGACGAATCGGCGGGCTGGGTTGAGTTTGGAGCCGGAGTCCACGAGTGCGACTGGAAGGGAGTGGATTGCGACTATGAAAACGGAAACACCGAAACGGGAACCGTGATCGGCCTGCGCCTCTCACCAGCACTGGGATTGGTCTTAACGGGAACCCATCTCTCCACCGAACTCGGAATGCTCACGGCCCTTCGTCGTGTCGACTTTTCTGACCAGCGATTGCAAGGAACAATTCCTGATGAGTGGGCTTCAATGACCAACCTAAGTGAGTAGAATAATGCTGTGACTGATACATGATCTTCGTCGAATCATTGTTCAGTTTCTTTGCGATGTGCATTGCATTAAGTCTGGTTCTGGATGGAATAAAGCGAAGCATGGTGTTTATATTTTAACCTTGCCTTCCACCTTCTCATTTATTTGCCACAGAATCCGTAATCCTTTCCAAGAATCAGTTACAAACAACAGTTCCCGAATGGATCGGCAGATCGTCAGAAGAAGGTGGAGGATGGCAGAACCTCGAGCAATTAGCTCTAGATGATAACTTTTTGTACGGAAGTCTACCTTCCTCTATGAGGAATCTTCGTAAACTGACACATTTGGAGTTGCAGGTCAACCCCCAATTGGAGGGGCGCTTCGATGAACTTCTCTTCTTGGAAAAAGAGGACGAAGCGACTGGTCTCCCGGGGCAAAACCTCGAGATCCTCGACCTATCCAACACTCGTTTGAAGGGCAAAATTCCTAAAATCACATTGCCATCCATTCGATCGTTTCGCTTGTGGAATCTTCCGGGATTTTCGGGGACCCTTCCTCCCGATATTGGAAGCTGGTCCAACCTGGAGATCTTCAGTATCAAGGAAATGCCTGGCTTGACCGGAACTCTTCCCACAGAGTTTGGTTCTCTGGAAAAACTCGAAATTCTGGAGGTTCTCGATAGCAACTTCATGTCGGGTGAGCTTCCGAAAGAGCTGGGAAATCTATCCTCCAACCTAAAAACGATTAACTTTCGTTACACAAACCAAACCGGAACCCTTCCCGTCGAGTGGTCTAGCCTCGTGAATCTAGAAAACCTTAATCTACTACAAAACAAATATTTGACGGGCACCATTCCCTCCGAATATGGATACATGACCAGCCTCCGGTCTTTGGATCTCCGGGGCACCAGCCTATCGGGAGAAGTGTCGCAGGAGGTTTGTGCCATCGACAGCATGGAGACACTACAAGCAGATTGTTCGTACAAGAACGACAAGAGCGTCGGAAAGATAGTTTGTCTCTGTTGCTTGTKGTGTCACGATGTTTAGCTCTTTCAGGATTTGAGCACGAAGACTTTGTCGATCAAACAAAAGAATTGGCGAGGGCCATTCGACAAGGAAACACATTCTTGCACAGACGGACTATTGAAACATACTGGATACTGGCCTAGTGACCGAAATCGAAGACGCAACGAATGCAATGGTCGGTCGTAAATTTCGAAAACACTAGGAGTTAAGCTCTGTAAACTATATGTCGGAAAAGTAACTACAGTATTTCTGAAACTAATGCATTTGCGTCCGTAGTTGCTTGAACCAACTTTGCTAAAAGTGCACGCAGATCGCTCGGCTGCCATGCGAAAGCAAGCTACCGCTCGAGCCATTGAGCAGAATCTCGGCATCCCGATGTTCCTGGACTTCGGTCTTGGATCCACGGTCAAGGATCTTCCATCCCGGCGTGCACCTTCGTCGGTGTTGGAATCCAAAGCTCGTCGGCCCGAAGACAGTCTTGTTTCAACTCCAAAGGCTTTTCCAGTTCGTCGATTTCGGCATTTCACGAACGGTGAGACTTTCACGCATTCCCGGTCCGTTACAGCTGCAAGCATTGCTTTCGGTGCAGCGGCTCGTGCCATCCGAAACCAATCTCGGTAAGGTATTCGGGAAAAAGACCCACCAAAGGCTCAGACACTTGTGCCGGGAGCTGGGGCAAACAGCTCGTCGTCGTTGTTGCTGAAGAGCTCGTCGAGGATCTCATCGATTTCCGTATCGCTGATGGGTTCCCTGGGCCCGTCGTCGTCTTCGCCGCCGCCGTGGTCCCGTTTCGGTGCCGAAGGATCGTTCCAGAGCGCGCCGTCCAGGCAACAGCCGCGGGATTCACAGGACCGGAGGAGTGCCTCCCAGTGGCGGCAGGTCTTTAGAACGGCCCGGTCTCCGACCACGATCAGTCCTCTCCGGGCACGCGTAATGGCTACACACAGCCGACGGGAGTCTCGAAGAAAGCCGAGCTCCTTCATCTGGTTGGAACGAACCGCCGAGAAGACCACCACGTCGGTTTCCTGGCCCTGGAAGGAGTCCACGGTGCCGACCCGAACCCCACCGGTCGCCCGGCCCCTCGTTGTTTCCGAGGAGAGCTCGGTTCGGATGAGCTGGACCTGTTTCGAATACGGACTGATCACGGCAATGCCCGACGGATCGGTGTCCCCCCCATCGATCAGGTCCGCAACGATCGAAACGACGAGCCTCGCCTCGGTCGGGTTGGACCTGCCACCGAAATTGTGTGCAATTTCCGAGTCGCTTTCGCCGACCTGCACGAATGCCAGGGGCCGGGACGACGGCCACGGGAAGCCCCCCGGGGGGGGCCGGTCGACCCGGGAAAGGCCACCGGCGCAGGCCACGAGGCCGTTGTAAAAGTATTCCGACGGGTGCTCCAGGAGAAAGGGGGGCATGCGGTACTGGACCCGCAGGGTGGTCTCGCCCACCCCGCAGTCTTCCAGGCGCGACATGGGCGAGACCCCGAGGCGGTCCCGGAGTTTCATGGAGGTCACCGTGGGGGGGAGCTGCCGCGTGTCGCCCACGAGGACGACCTGTTCCGCCCGGGAAGCCGCGAGTGCACAGACCAGGGCGGGCTCGGTGGTCTGGGCGGCTTCGTCGAGGACGACCGTCGCAAAGGACATCTCGTCGTCCTCGTCGTCGCCGCCGTCCTCGCCGCCGCCGCCGCCGCTGTTTGTGTTTTCGCCCAAAACGAGCTGGTGGGCCCCGATGCAGCTCGCAACGACGACCGGTGCCGTTTTGGCGATCGATTCGCGGACGTCGGCCAAGCACCGCCTCAGCTCAAAGGCGGCGGCCGAGCGCTGCTGTCTTTCCAGCGTTTGGTCCGCGGCCCTCTTCCGCAGCTCGGCGACCCTCGGCATCCTCTCGGTCATCGCCGTGATGGTCCGGTGCTGGACCGACGGGGAGACGGAGGCGGGCCGGCCCAGCCTCACCGCCGGGACGCCCATCTGCAGGAGGGCCTCCAGGAGGACGTCCGCCGCCCCGTTGCTGTGCGTCACGGCCAGGACCCGTCCCTCCATCCGCATCGCGGTCGACACCAGGAGGGCGGCGACGCGGGTCTTGCCGGTTCCGGGCGGCCCCCGGACCAGGGAGACCTTCCGCTGCAGGGCCCAGGCGATGGCCTCCTCCTGGGAGGGGTTCGGCTCGAAGCTCGTGGCGCGCTTGGCCCGCTCGAGGGCGTCTTCGATGGTGGCCCTTGCGTCGGCCCCGAGGAAGGACGGGGCCCCCGATCCGAGGGCCTCGGCGTCGTTTGGGCTGCAAAAGGTCCGGGCCATCAGGGCCGAGGCCGCCCCGGCGTTTCCCTTGCGCACCATGTCCAGGGCCTTTCTCTGGGCCCGCAGCGGGGCCCTGGGGGCCGTGCGATCGAGGCGGACCTCGAAGAATCCCGCGAGCTTTCGGGCCTCCCACAGACCGTCCGGCCAGCTGGATCCGACCCCCGCGGTGATCCAGTCGCTCCCCACGTCCACCACCAGGCACTCCCTGGGAACGGGGTCGACGGACCGGACGGTGGGCGTCATGACCAGCACGTCGCCCCGGGTGAACCGGTCCTTGAACATGGTTTCCCCCTTTCGGTAGAACCGGACGATTTTTTCACCCAGGACCTCCGATTCCGGCTCGGCGGATGCCCCGAAGACGCTGATCCCGCTCTGCTCCAGCCTCCTCCTCGACCACGACTTTCGCTGGTCCCTGAGCTCTTCCGCCGTCTCGTGGTACTCCTCCAGGAGGAGGGACTCCCAGTGGGCCGCGTAGTCGGCCGCTTCCCTCCGCACGCTCTTGAAGCCCCGCGGCCTGCCGGGGTCCTGCAGCGCCAGCGAGAAGGGGCCGGCGAGCAGGAGCACTTTTGGTGCCGCCGCGAGCAATGTCGCAAGGATCCTCATGGGGTGGGTCGGTCGGTCGGTTTGGTTGTTTGTTTGCGTTGTGTTTCGGCAACCAAAATGGGAGCGCAAGAGGGCAGGCCTCGATCCGCCCAAGCAGCGATGGTCCGTCCATGCAAGGGTGACGGAGCCAAACAGAAAATTGACACATCGTCATCACATCGCAAACAGAAAATCTCTCTGATGGTAGGTACATGTACGCACCGTGCGTACCGTACCATAATTCGTACGCAGGGTAGGAGGTAGTCGTAGGCGGTCGTACGGTATGGTACGGATCAAGACAAGTGATGGGAATTCCGCTCCAGTGCATAGAATGGCCGAGTCAGATTTTTTTGTAGCGCAGGGGAAAATCGTACCGTACGTACGGTAGGATACCTAGAAGTGTTGTACCGTACAAAATAATTGAAAATACGATAAGACTCATACCGCTATGTATCGGTACGTACTACATGAAAAACGTCCGTACGAACCAACTGATGTGGGACTCAGCTGAATCAATCGAACCCTCCTGCCAGTTCGTACGCTACAAACATACATAGTACGTACTCGTACCATACTACGGTTTTGCGGAAACGTGTCGCTATCTTGTTCGGAGAGTGAGAATGTAGAATAGTACTAGTACTAGTACTAGTTAGTACTAGTAGTGTAAGCTCAAGAGCGGCACCGCAATGCGCAGCAGCAGGGCAAGCCGATCCATCCACAAAGAAAGACTTGCTGCCGTGCTTGTTGTTTGGTTTCGGTTGGTCTTCTTCTTCTTCTTCTTCTTGTTCACGGTGTTCTCCTGCTGCCACACACAACCGCCACAACACTCGCTTCGCTACCCGCCGCTGTTGCTTCTCGCAGTACTAGCAATCGGCGAAGCGTGCAACGGATGCTCCCGGAGCAGCACGTGAATCGAATCGTGCCTGTCCTCTTGCTGTTTCTTTGTTTCTCGCGGCATTCCCCGCACTCTGCCAATCGGTCGGTCTTGGTGTTTTGTTGGTTTGGTTTGGTTTGGTTTGGTTTGGTTTGGTTTGGTTGGTGGATGCCCCTTGCTGCCGAGCACCGGTGCAAGGTTGCTTGGACCGCGGTCCATGGCCGAACCGTTCTCACGCGCCGCCGCCGCCGCGGAGGAACCCGGGCATCGCAAAGGGCTCCACCCCGCGGCCGCTGGTCACCCGGTGCGTCACGACCGGCGTCCCCGAAGCGGCGGCCCCTTGGTCCGTGGGCGGCCCCAGGACCACGGCCCTTCGGACCCGGTCCAGGGCGGCCTCCGCCGCCTCCGGCGACCGATCGGTGTACACGGTGACGACCGTGTCGCCGTCCTCGAGGAGGTCCCCGGCCTGCCTGGCAAAGAGGAGGCCGGCGGCCCCGTCCACGGCGGCCCCTGCGTTCGTCCTCCCGGCCCCCAGCAGGACGGCCGCCTCGCCCACGGCCCGGGCGGGGACGTCCGAGAGGCAGAGGGTGCCCCCGCGGTGGATCCAGGAGGAGGAGAAGGCCGCTCGGGGAAAGGCCCCCTCGGAAAGGGCCCGGTCCAGGGGGCCGGCCTCGGCGCCCTGGGCCAGGAGCATGGTCCGAAAGGTGGGGAGGACCCTTCCCGAGTCCAGGACCCGGTAGGCGTGCGCGATGCACTCGTCGAGGGACATGGAGGAATAGCACGGGTGGGGGGGGGCTGTGCTTGTGCTCGCGTCCGCCGGGGGAGGGGCTTTGGGAGAGGCTTTGGGAGAGGCTTTGAGAGAGGCTTCGGTGGTGCCATTGCCATTGCCATTGCCATTGCCATTGCCATTGCCATTGTCATTGCCATTGCCATTGCCATTGCCATTGCCATTGCCATTGCTGCTCTTGCCATTGCCATTGCCATTGCCACCCCCTCCCTCCTCCGCCTCCCCCCTCGGGCCGGCCGACTGGTAGAGCATCTGGCCGGCCAGGACCACCACCAGCGCGATGAGGTCCCCCGAGAGGCGGAGGCCGGTCCTCTTCCGCCCCTCGAGGCCTCCCTTCATCACGTCGATGCACTCGGCGACCTCCACCGCGTTCCCCACCGCCCTGCCGAGCGGACGGTCCATCCTCGTCAGAAAGGCCGTCGTGGGCAGCAGGCCGCTTTCCTCCCCCGTGGCCACCAGTGACCTTGCCAGCTCTGCGGCCTCCTCCACGGTCGGCTGGAAGGCCCCGTCCCCGAACTTGACGTCCAGGACCAGCGAGTCGGGCCGCTCGGCGATCTTCTTGGAGAGGATGCTGGCCGTCTGCAGGGTGGGGCAGGAGACCGTCGCGGTGACGTCCCGGAGGGCGTAGATCTTGCGGTCGGCCGGGCAGATTTCCGGCCCGGCCTCGGCAATGGCGCAGCCGGCAACGGCGCAGCCGGCAATGCTAGCACCACCGCTGCTAGTGCTTGCACCCTTGCTCGCACCGCTAATGCCAGTGCGCTTGCCCCCGAGGACGATCCCTGCAAAGTCCTCGGGGCCCAGCTCCGCCCTGTACCCCTCGAAAGTCGTCTCCAGCTTGTCGATGGTCCCCCCCGTGTGGCCGAGGCCCCTCCCGGCGATCATCGGGACGGCCACCCCGCAGGTGGCCACCAGGGGGGCCAGCACCAGAGACACCTTGTCCCCGACGCCCCCGGTCGAGTGCTTGTCGACCAGCGGGGGCCGGTCCTTCCTCGAGGGCCAGGCCAGGACCCTCCCGGAGGCCGCGCAGGCCTTTGTGAGGACCGCCGTCTCGGGGGGGGTCAGCGGCCGGAAGCAGACGGCCATGAGCCAGGCGGCCATCTGGTAGTCCGGGAGGCCTCCCTCCGTGTACGAGGACACCAGGGAGAAAAGCTCCTTGTCCGTGTAGGCCCGCTCCCCGGGGGGCCGTCTGCGCAGCCGGGCGATGAGCTCCACGGGGTTGGGGTTCACCGAAAGGTTCTCCTTGTCTTTGTCTTGCTCGTGCTCGTGCTCGTGCTCTCTGGATGCCGTGCCCATTGTGTCTAGACACCGTCTCGGAGTGCTTGTTCTCGTTTCCTCTGCGTTGTGTTGCGTTGCTTGTTTTGCTTCGCCTCGGGCTTGTCCCTGCCGCTCGGGACCGCCGGTTCTTGGTCCGGGGATTGCTTCGATCGAGATCGGGGCCGGACGGGGTTTGGTTTGGCGCTCGGGACGGGTCTTGGGGTGTAGAACGCGATGCGATGCGATGCGATTCGATTCGATTCGATACGATAAGATGCCATGCGATGCCGGATCGTCCCGCGGAATTCGCAGCCTTTTGCCGCAGCCAGCGGCGTACGGTACCCTACGGTACGGTACTGTACGGTACCGTAGGGAACGAGGAAAGGATACGAGTACGAGTACCGTTCTCGGTGTCGGTGTCATGTCGGTGAGTTCCTTCGTTTCGAAGGAGAAGAATGAAGACGGAAGACATCACCGAAACAAACAACACGAGATGGTGGTGCCCATGGTTTGGGGGAAGGAAGGCGAAAAATTGGTGCCCCATAATCCCACGCATCCCGCAATGCAGGCTCTGTGCATACGGTACGAAGTGCATACGAGTACGAGTACCGGTACGGCACATCATAGCGTAAGGTACTCCCGTACGTAGTACTACTACTACTGTATTATTAGTGTGTTAAACAAATGTCTGTAAGGAATGTTATGTTACGGTTCATGTTGTATTACTATGCAGTGGGTATCAATTAAAATTGTGTTTCGCAGGAGACCATACCAAATACACAGGAGGCCATACCAAATACGTAGTAATTGTTAACTTTACTCCTCTTTGACGCGTACTCCAACAATAACAAGGAGAAGAAGAAGAACGTCACACAAACCGATATTATGGTGTTTTAAGTTTCCTGCGTGCACAAAAACAAATTCCCGCATGTGTTTTTCGATGCTCAAATTGGAATCTCATGGCCCTTTTCCCTGGAACATGTTCTCGCACCCTTTGTTTCTCAGCACAAATTTTGTCATGCCCTTTTCTACTAGGGTTCGTACTGTTTTCTATCGTCGCCGTTCATTTTCTCATTACAACCTCTAAAATATCATCATTTTGACATTTTTCTTATATTTTCTTTCAAAATCAAAGCCATTGCATTGGTTCTTCTTTTGGTGTTACCAACATTCTTTTACCAACAACAGAAACTATTCTTCTCTTTTCTATTCTGTTTGAAGGTTTGTCTTATCTTATTTCAGCTTTTTCTATTTTTGTTTGACGTTCAACAATTTTTGTCATAAAACCAATTTTGGCCGTATCCCATTTGTATTTTTATATATCTATTGTTTGTTTGTAGTTTGTTGTGATATAATATTTTAATAATTTTCGAATTTATACTGGTTGGCCCAACAATTCTTCCACATCTTTAGTTAAAGATACTCGCGTCCCACACTTCTGTGACATCGAACTTCAATTCCTCTTCCTGCAGTTTTCTTTTCTTTCTCTCTCTTTCCTCTCTATCTTCACCTACCGATTCTCTGTAGTGTGCCATTAATGCCATTTCAATTGTTCTTGAACTTTCTTCTGCCCTTCTTTTTGTTATCTCTTTCACAAGCTTTATGAACAACATTCTTCCTTCTAAGCTCCATCCTTCCTTGCTTCCTACCCTAATCTCTGTGAATCGTTTTTGCATCTTCTTTCTGTTTCCGGAATTGTTCCAAGACTCGTAGTCGTTGAACAAGAACAAGAGTGCAAAAGCCTTGTCTGTAGCGCTAAATATCTCACTAACTGTGTTCTTGTGTCTTTTTCTCTTAAAGTCGTTTTGTTTTGGTGATACTGCTCCCAATACGCGTCTCATGAAATACTTGAACTCCCGTGTGTTTTTTCTCCTGTATTCTGGTTTCAACACAAACGACGAGTCATCTTTGCTTTCTGTTATGAAACATTTTCCTGTGAATGTAGTAGGGGGAATGACACCGTTTTTTATTGTCTGAATGTATGAAGGATGGAAGGATGGAAGGAGATGGTTAGATTGATCTTGTCTTATCAGTGTTTTGCATGCATTGCCTCTCTTCTTACCCTTGTAGTTTTTTCAAGCCAGTGTCTGAGCATTATGTCTGCATGCAGTTACTGCCCCATTGATCGTCCCCGCCCAATGACTGGCAGACATTACTAGGCCCTCTGGTGGATTTTCCCCACCTGTACTTTCCTTTACCTGCTTTTTCACTATGTTTTCCACGACGAAATCATTTACTGGAAACTTCATGTGCTTGAACAAAATGTTCCTAACATAATTAGTCAGCTTTTGTTTTAAAATGGTCTCTACATGTCCCAGTCTTATGTCACTAGCGACCACAATTCTCCCCTCCTGTTCTTCATTGTGGCAGACTAATTGTGTTGAGGACATCTTGGATTTGTTTGAATTTCTGTAAAACCTGTGGTGTTGTGATATTCTTTTTGATTGTAATAACTGGTTTTCTTTGTTAGTTGCTATCATTAAAATATCACATCCACTCGCAGGTCATGTGCTTTGTCCTCAGCTTACCTAAATTACTCACTCGGAAATGATAGTGTATATAACCCAATGCTCCCCTTGTAGTAGTAATACTCAAACTCTCACAAAATTAATGTGAAATCAATTCTGTGCCCGGAGTTTTGATTTTTTGGTGTGGTAACTGATCCATTCTCAGACGCCCACCATGATGTCCACAAATAATGCCCTGTCCAGTGCCGATCAATACCATAAGAAATCTGCGGATGAGTTGAATGATTCTATCGTCAAGGCAATTGGCAATGAGGATTATTATTCCAAACAACTATGTGACACAATTGCTATGGAAGTCAAGATGCCTCTCATGTATCTCAAAAGCCATGTCATTATGGTATCCCAAATCAAGAAGGTATCGGCAGCCAGCGAACAAAGTGCCGGTGACATGCCCCTAACCATCCATCCATTGTTGAACATTTTTCTAATGAATGATCCTGATTCCATGTCATCCGATGGTAATTCCCAGTTTATTGTCGTCCCAAAGCTCTTGTTTACCAAACGTCTGAGAAGGTTCAATTTTCCCAAAAGATGGGAAGAGTTTCAGGGTAAATTGGACGATGAACAAATTTCTATTAAGACAACAGCTGCAGACAGGTTGGACAAATCTGAAGACACTGCTAGTCTTGTATCTCATAAAACCATGTTGAAGTACATGAACACTGTCCGCAGCATCTTTGAATGGTACTTTTGTCATGTCAAACTTCCTCCATCCAAGGATTTAAATGGTGCCTTTTCTTGAGAAACGAAGGGTGTGAGAACATGTTCCAGGGAAAAGGGCCATGAAATTTAATTTGAGCATCAAAAAACACGCACAGGAATTGTTTTCGTGCACGCAGGAAACCTAAAACACCATTATATCTGTTTGTGTGACGCTAAAATGGGGGACCAGTAGAATGCAAATGACAGTAAAATCACATTTGTTATAGTACTAGCTATGCCAAAAAAGGCCCCTTTTCAGTAACTATTGCAAGTGCGTCAGTCGCATTCAACATACTTTATCTACATGATTGTATACTTATCTAATAGATCTGTTTAGTGCAAAAATAAGCACTCAAATTGCCCAAATATTGAGCTTATTTCAACCAAAGAGGTGCAAAGTGTACCAGTATTTTGGAACGGAGGTAGTAATAAAGAGTGAGCTTATTCACTATCTACTCGTGATCTAGGCTCACAATTGGAATTATCGCAACAATTCTGTTGTCAAATGTTGGTCGTACGGTGCGTCAGGCACGATCCAAGCAAGAGTGGTCGTATGTGGACAAAATATGTACCGGCTGTACCGTACGAGTAGCTCTTCACTGTATCGGCTCATTTTATTTTCTCTCTGCAAAGTGTATACCCATGTGCTCTTTAGCTCCACATCTACTTGTGTACAACTTCACAATCTACTCGCGATTTAGGCTCGCACTGCCTCCACGATGAAAGGCTTCCTAGCAATAATTTCCGCCTTTCTGGGAAGAGGTGCAGAATCAACACCTATTATTCAAGGATTGGAAAGAGATGCCGTTACAGTTGACGCCAGAGCTGAGGCGTCAAATAATATAGGTTTGGAAAATGGTGCAGTCAGCGTTAATGTCTCAAACTTGGGTATCACCGTTTTAGCTATTCTGTTGGTTCTTCAACAGCCTGATCCAAATGGCAACCTTCGATTGGTAATCCGTTGCATTATGCCTGTCATTCTGCTTGCCCTTCCACCACTCATGTATTTCTTCTATGCGGCAGCAGCAAGCTCGGCCCCTGCTCGCCCGCAAGCCCCCAGAACGGGGGCCACAGCAGCAACCATCGCTTCTCCAGCGCGTCCTGGCGCTGGCGGGGCTCATGCCAATGTCGCTGGAGGAGGACGCCAAACGGGACCCAGGGAGCGGGGCCGCACCGGCATGCCCCCGGAACGTGGGCCGGTTTCTCGGCGATCCTGTGAACGCACTCATGCGGCAGCAGCAAGCCCGGCCCCTGAACGGGACCCAGGGAGCGGGGCCGCTTCGGAACGAACCTGCGACAGCGGAGCCGCGCCCGCAAGCCCCTGGTCTGAGATCTGCGAAAAACTTGAGACTGATGTTTTTCTCACGGGCTTAGTGCTCCGCTTGCTTGCGAAGGCACTCTGGGAAAAATGGAAGCCGCAAGCCGCAAGACGAGACCCAGAAGCCGCAAGACGAGACCCAGAAGCCGCAAGACGAGACCCAGACCCCGAACTGAACGTATTGCAAGCCAGGGCGCTCGAGCAACTGATAGACATGTTCCCACAATACGATCGCCGTGACTTGCTCGGGGAGCTGAGGTACAGAGGGTCCATCGAAGCCGTAACCGAATCGATCCTGATGGGGATCTTTTGGGCGGTTCCGCGAAGCTAGAAACTCGTAGCCTGCAGTTCTCCCAATGAGAGTTTAGATTGCAGTCGATCAATGAACACATGGTGTAATCGATGCCTTCACTATTTCTACCCGTAGCGATTTTCACCGGTTGGCTACATTAAATGCAGAATAGTTGAAATGTATTGTTATACTGTATTATACTTCCTCAGTTCCCGAAAATGTGCCATCGTTTTCCTTCTTTGGTGTTCTCATATGAGTGTTTGCGTTAGATACGGTGCCATAATGCTGGCCAGAGGTTGTCGCTGTTATTGATTCTCTAGTTTGTGGTATGTTTTATATTGTTTCCATGGTCTTAGTTTTCGGTAGTCGCCGCCGTAATGTTCAACTCCTCCGTCGCGGTTGCTGGTTTGGATTCGAGTAGTTTCCCTTGACTCTCGCCCTGTTTCCCGTCTCCAACAACATGGTCTAAAAACGGAAGTACAACGTTCCGTCCGACGTTTATCATGTGCCATTTTTCCAATACTAGGTCGCACCACATGATACAATCGGCAACAGATCGTGACGCTATATCAGTTTGCGCTTTCTTTGTCCGCTCACGAAGATTCAAATATTTCTATTTCCCAATTCAAGTGCATCGCTTAACCTATTAACCGTCATGAATCTGTTGGCACAAATTTGTTATTCTTCAATAGGAGCAAGGTTCATCTTATTTGTTTGACCTTCTTTCTCTTTGTTGCTGTTATTTTCTTGCAGGTTGTTTCCGTCGCCGTCCGATTTTTTTTTCTCGTCTGGATATGCTGCCGCCAGCTCCTTCTCTACCGCCCGCAATTCGGCTGCCAATTCGGGGTCGTCTTCCAACTGCTTTGCAAAATTGTCATTATTTTCTACTTCGTCGTCCTCATTCACCATGTCTTGATATGCCGTTTCCGCTTCTGCAAAGTCGTCCATAAAGCCCATCCGGGCGGCCGATTCCTCTAGTTCTCGTCGTTTTTTGTCTCGCTTTTGTTGCCGACGCAGCTTTTTCTTGGACATTTTCCCGCTCCGGCGGGCTGTGTCTTTGCCGCCTCCGTCATTGAGCGTTGCATCCATCTCGTGGTCGTGATTTATCTGCCTCGTCGCCATGTCTTCGGCTAGTTCCCGTTGCTTTTGCTCTTTGGCAGAGATTTTCTTCACCAAGACCACGTCCTGCAAGACGACGTTTGAGTTAAGGACCTCTTCTAGCCCGACAACACTCGATGCGCCCATGAAGGATGAACCCTTTTTAGCGGAGGACGCCTTGTGAATTGTCGTGTTTAGGTTCGAGGCTGTGGACACTAAATCATATCCCAGAACGACGTCCCCGGGTTGGATCAGATTTCCCAAATGAGTCACACAACTCAAGATCTCGTCGTTGGCACCGAGGTCAGACTCTCGGGCCAGTTGGACGTCGGCCAGAGCGTACTTTTCCACACCACTGGATGGTCCTTCGTACTGACGATGATCCTTGTTGTCGCCGCACAACTCCATATCCAGGACCACGAATGGGACCAATCGTTCGGAAGTTTGCAATATCGAATAGCAACCCTTTTCGTTTGCACTCGCCGTTCCACCACCGCCACCATTCTTGTGGTAGGCTTCGGCCGTAATATCCGCGCAGTCGATTTGATTGGTCGGCGACCGTTTCGGAGATGCATCAATAAGATGCACAACGCTAGCAACCTTGGTTACCAATGCCAGGCGCCCACCCAACAAATTTCGAGATTCTTTCTGAACAAGGACCAAATCGTCGCGGCAGAGCGGAACCATATCGCATGTCAGCGTGTGTTTGATATTGGCCGTGTTGTTCTTAGCGTCGGTGGATACCAGTTTTTGCGAGGTTTTGATCTTGATCGGCGCCAGCCTTGCTAGAAAGTGCGCGAAATGCTGGGCCTGTGGAAGCGAGAGGAAATAAAAATCTAAGCCGTTCCTAGAGGAGTCTATTTTGAGGACGGTTCTCCGCAGGTCTCTGTTGGAGGGCTTGCTGAGTGCCATTTCGAGGGCCGCGAGTCCCTTTCGGCTCGACCCGTTCTCTCGTTTTTGGCGCAGCTGGACGAGTGCCTGCCACGTCCGGTTGGTGTACTGGCGATCGCAGTCGTTGCACATCTTCCAATTGATCTTAAAGAGAACCGGGACCCGTTGTTGGACGGTTACTTCGTCGAGATCGGTTCGAACTGTCAAGCGAATTTTGAGGCGCATGCTGTGTGGTTCGGTCCATATCCAGGAACTATCCACGATGTGTATTTTGTTGGTATGGGAAGAATGTCCTTTCTTGGTGAGTATCGGAATGTGTTTGAGGCAGATGCTCAAGAGCTGTGGCGATTCCGGTTCGCAGTATTGGTAATTGTGGTTTGTGTCAGCTTTCATATTGAATCTCCGGCACTGTCGGCACTGGTAGATAGTAATAGGCTCTCCTTCAGTGTTGCCTTGGATCATGCTCTTAAGGTCAAAATTTTGCGCGAGGCACGAAGAGCATTGATTGGCCTTGTTGGGCATGATCATCGTCCCACACAGACAACACGGGATCCTGTTCACGGCGTTGCTTAGTGTTGCCATCTTGGATAGCATATATTTGAATACAGTGTTGGATTGGACTGTCTTGTGCACGCCTCTTTTGGCAGGACCCTCTGAATCTACTGCTACGATAAGATGAATACTGTGACTGATATTCGCTGTCGTGACATGTTTGGTTGGGATCGATTGAAAAAAGGATTTTCTGTTGATGGGAGTGGAATCATCAGGAAAATAGGTACAAGGATCATCATCAACTACGATATCATTATTTCGAACGATTAATGATTCGGCATTTTGACAAGGCAGCAACTTATTATATACAAATTGTATGCTGCACACATGAAAAAGCAGTGTTCGAATGGTCACGTGTTCGATTCACGTCGGGTGCTTCACTAGCACCTGTAGCTCAGAGGCAGAGCGTTCGATTGCAGATCTTTTTTTGTGAGTACTTTTTGTGAAGGATCATTCTTAACCGTCCTGTATTTCTTTTGGCATTGGACAAATACTAGTACCAATACTAAGATTCAAAATAACCTTAGTAGATAGTACAGCAGCTCTACCAATTTTTTATCATACATCAAATGACAAACAACAGCAAGCACTTACTAGTACTACTATTAGTATTAATCCATGACAAGGACAACAACAAGCATTCTTGCAGCACCAGGAGGAGCAGGAGGAGCAGGAGCGGCAGATATCATAGTAACAGCAGCAACAACTACTAGACTGCTGCTCTTGCACACCTTTGACTACTACTGGTAGTAGTAGCTAAACAACAGTTATTTGGGAAGAGGAACCACAATACTTCTTCTTCCACAACATTGTGGTGGTGCTTGTGTGCTGTGCTGTGCTGTGCTGTGCTGTGCTGTG